GTATATCGGCCTGCTCTTCTTTTACAATGCGTACAATTTCGGCTACCCGGTTACGGTAGCCCAGTTCTGCCACTACGTTCAGTCCCCTTTCTTGCAGCTGTTTTGCATAAGCCTGTAACTGTTCTTCGTCTTTTTTACTTTCCAGGTCGGCCACGGCATCACCCAGCAACCTGGCGCTGGCGCTTTCTACCACGTGCAGCAGTATATACCGGCTGTCCGGCTGCCCCTGGCCCAGTGCAAAGGCTACCAGCTTTTCATCGTGTCCGCTGAAATCAAGCGCTACTGCAATCTGCTTAAAGGCAGGTGGTGCAAAATGATTCAGTGTTTTTACGGCATGGTGTACGGTTACCCCTACGTCATCTCTCTTCATTTTTTTCAGCAGCAGCGGTATGGCGATAACAGTAACGAGCAAAACAACCAATGCCACCAGGCCTGCCACCACCAGTATTTTTGCCAAAAGGGTATGTTCATTGTGTAAAAAATCGATGCCTTCGCCAAATACCATTTTCAGGTTCAGGTATACCAGTACCGCCGCTACCAGCCAGCTCAACACCTGTGTAAGCGGCTTAATGGCAAACACGCCCATCTTTTCTTTCTCGCTTACAAAATGTATGAGCGGAATGATGGCAAAGCCCAGCTGCAGGCTCAGAATTACCTGGCTGAATATCAACAGTGCATCAATTTTATTGTCGCCCCAGATAACAATGGTGACTACTGCAGGCACAATGGCCAGCAGGCGCGTCAGCAAACGCCGCAGCAATGGATTGATGCGCAGCAACAGGTAGCCTTCCATTACAATCTGGCCGGCCAGTGTGCCTGTCACGGTAGAGCTTTGCCCCGCTGCAATCAATGCAATGGCAAACAATACGGGCGCTATCGCTGTACCCAGCATGGGTGCCAGCAGCCTGTGTGCATCTTTGATTTCGGCCACATCGTGCATACCGGCCGTAAAAAATACCCGCGCCGCAAGAATTAGGATAGCCGCATTCACAAAAAAAGCCAGGTTGAGAGCAATGGTAGTATCAAACATATTGAAGCGCAAAGCCCTGCGTATACTTCCTTCATCGCGTGCAATCTTACGGGTTTGCACCAGTGCAGAATGCAGGTATAAATTATGGGGCATCACAGTGGCACCAATGATACCAATGGCAATATACAGTGCTTCCTTGCCGGGAATGGTGGGAATAAAACCGGTGAGCACCTCGCCCAGCGGAGGTTTGGCAAAAAACATTTCTATCAGGAATGCCAGCCCGATGATGGCCACCAGCGTAATAATAAATGCCTCCATCTTGCGCATGCCCAGTCTTTGCAGGTAAAACAGTAAAAAAGTGTCGAGCACTGTTATACAAACGCCCCATAGAATGGGGATGCCTGTCAGCAGGTGAATACCAATGGCCATACCCAGCACTTCCGCCAGGTCACAGGCTGCAATGGCAGTTTCTGCCAGCAGGTAGAGAATGAAATTAATTGAGCGCGGGTATACTTCGCGGTTTACCTGCGCCAGATCGCGCCCGCGAACAATACCCAGTCTTGAAGAAAGATTCTGCAACAGCAGGGCCATCAGGTTGCTCATCAGCAATACCCAGATAAGTGAATAACCAAATTTACTGCCCCCTGCCAGGTCGGTCGCCCAGTTGCCGGGATCCATATATCCTACACTTACCAGGTAAGCGGGTCCTAAAAATGCCAATATTCGCTTGCCCTTTCTGCCGCCGCGGGTGGTATCAATGCTTTCATGTACCTCGCTCAGCGATACATGACTATTTGCCTTTGTTGTCATAAGCTACCAATAAATTTTTCGCTACATGTTCGCTGATAGTAACCGGTTGCTGGTTCCGGATTTTTATCTCTACAGAGCCATCCACCGCAAATTTTTTTCTTATTTCCAGGCGGGTGCCCATCTGTATATTTTTATGCTTCAGCAATTCCAGCATTTCGGCCGACTGATCACTGATACCGTTTACGGTGCCGCTGCTGCTGACCGGCATATCGCATACCGCCAATTGCTGTACTACAGGCATTTTGCCATGTATATCAGGAATAGGATCGCCATGCGGATCGGTCTTCGGAAAATCCAGGAAAGCATCCAGCCGGTCTACCAGCTTCCTGCTGCTGATATGCTCCAGCTCTTCTGCTATATCGTGCACTTCCTCCCACCCAAACTGCAGTTTCTCTACCAGGAAATACTCCCACAAACGGTGCTTGCGGATGATCTGCATGGCCAGCTTTCTTCCTTCCGCACTCAGTTTTACGCCATGGTATTTTTCGTACTGCAGCAACTGCTGGGTCTGCAATTTCTTCAGCATATCTGTTACCGATGCCGGCCTGGTCTGCAAAGCCTCTGCCAGCGCATTGGTGGTCACACTTTCCTGTTCCTGCTGCAGGTGAAAAATGGCTTTAATATAATTTTCCTTGCTGGCCGAATATTTCATCTGGGCTAAATTAAAATTTAGACAAATCTAAAAAAAAAGATCATCAGAACCATGATTTGCCTGATTTTTATGACCGGTTGGCCCTGCTCTGTTTACCCGCTTGCCTGCAGCGTAGCAAAATATAACTGCGCCGGCCATCATAATAATCCCCAAAATCACATAAATCACGGTTCAGACAGGCGGTTCATACAAAATGCCTATTTTAGCCGCTAACACCGGGTTATTTATGAAAAAATGGATGCTTATCTTACTGTTGCCGCTGCTGGCGCTGGCCTGTAAGGGTAAAAAGAAACAACTATCGGGCGATGAGCCCATCAGCACCAGTGATTTCATTGAATTCTTTGACGAAGTAAAACTGCCCTACACCGTAGCAGATTCGTCTTTCCGGGTCAACAAAAACGACACCTTTTTCATCAGCTATAAAACATTTACGGCGCTGGTACCGGATACCCTGTTGCACGGTGTTTTTGGAAAAAATGGCAAACCCAAATGCTACCCTGTTGGAAAAGTAGCCGTTAAAAACAAGGAGACCTACCTGCTGCTGAAAGCCATCAGTCCGGCCGCAAAAGCCGCCTATGTGCTGGTTTTTAATAAAGACAACAAATTTGTAGCCGGTATGCCCCTGCTGGTGCCGGACAATAACAGTGCTACTGAACAAACCGCGGTGATGGATAACCGCTATTCCATTACTACCAACAAAGAATACAAGGCAGCAGATGGCCACCTGGTCTACAGAAAAGCAGCCTTTGCTTTTATCAGCGGTGCCGATGCTTTTACCACTATTCTCACAGAGTCAAACGAAACAGACACAAAAAAAGAACTGCTGAACCCGATAGATACCTTACCTCGGAAAAACAAATTGTCCGGCGACTACATGCAGAACCGGCTGAACATGGTATCTGTACGCGATGGCAAAAAGCCGGGCGAGCTGCTGATATTCGTTCATTTTGAAAAAGAAAACGGTGGCTGCAAAGGTGAGTTGAAGGGTGAAGCCAAGATAACCGGACCGGGTAAAGCGATGTACCGCCAGTCGGGCGACCAGTGCGAACTTACCCTTTCGTTCGCCGGTAATACCGTTTCGCTGCATGAAGAAGGCTGCGGCGCCCACCGCGATATCAAGTGCTTTTTTGAAGGCAGTTTTGTAAGAAAACCCCAGCCAAAACCAGTCATTAAGAGTTCGCCCAAAACAACTGCCAAACCAGGCTCCAAAACCAGCAAGCCATAAATAAGCGCAAAAATGGCCCCTTCTGATATTTAAACGCATTTAAATCCATTCTTTGATGATAATCAGCATCTTAAACACAATACAATTGTTTTAACTTTTTACCGTTAATTTGCGTACCCTTTACACATTGTTCAAGAACATCATTCATTATGAATTTCAAAAAATTTAAAGTACCCTACACCCCTGAAGAACGTTATTCAAAAAAAATTGCTTATTTCTCTATGGAGTTTGCCGTCCACCAACCCCTTAAAATCTACAGCGGGGGACTGGGCTTTCTATCGGGCAGTCATATGCGCAGCGCCTATGAGCTGAAACAAAACCTGGTGGGCATCGGTATTTTATGGAAATACGGCTATTACGACCAGGCACGCAACCAGGACCAGACCCTGCAGGTAACCTGGATGGAAAAAAACGCCAGTTTCCTGGAAGATACGGGCATTAAGTTCCAGGTAAACATTCACGAACACCCGGTTTGGGTGAAGGTATTTTACCTGAACCCAGAAACATTTAAAAGCGCTCCCCTGTTTTTACTGAGTACTGATTTGCCGGAAAACGATTATGTTTCGCAAACCATTACCCACCGTTTATACGATGCCAATGTAGCCACCAAAGTAGCCCAGTTTATTTTGCTGGGTGTTGGCGGCGCTAAACTGATGGATGAAATTGGGTTCAACCCCGACCTCTATCATTTGAATGAAGCACATGCCATCAGCGCTTCGTTTTACTTATACCAGAAGTTTAATAAGAATATCAGCGAAGTAAAAAAACGCCTGGTATTTACCACGCATACACCGGAGGAAGCCGGCAATGAGAAACACGATATCTATCTCTGCCATAAAATGAGTTATTTCTGCGGCCTCAGCCTGGAGGAGACCAGGAAGCTGACCGGCATGACAGACGACCAGTTCAACCATTCACTGGTAGCGCTGCGTTTTGCAAAACTGGCCAATGGCGTATCGCAGCTGCATGGCCATGTATCCAGGGCCATGTGGAGCAAACACGAAGGTATCTGCCCCATCATCTCCATTACCAATGCGCAGAACTACAATTACTGGGCAGACAAACAGCTGTATGATAAAATGGAGAAACAGGACGATGTCTGGTTTGATGACCGTAAAAAATACCTTAAGAAAAGAGCGTTTGAAATTGTGGCCGATCAAACCGGCAAACTATTCGACCCCAATGTATTTACCATTGTATGGGCACGCCGTTTTGCAGGCTACAAACGTGCGGAACTGATTACAAGGGATATTGAACGTTTCAACAAACTTACCAGCAACAGCAAATACCCGGTACAGATTATCTGGGGAGGCAAGCCCTACCCTATGGATTACCCGGCCATCAACGATTTTAATCACCTGGTGCATTTAAGCAAGGGGTATAAAAACGTGGCGGTGGTAATTGGCTACGAACTGGGACTTTCCAAAAGAATGAAACAGGCGGCCGATTGCTGGTTAAACAATCCACGCGTACCCCGCGAAGCGTCCGGCACCAGTGGTATGACAGCTGCCATGAACGGCGCTGTAAACTTCTCTACCGATGATGGCTGGATACCCGAATTTGTAAATCATGGCAACAATGGTTTTGTAGTACCCAAGGCTGATTACGCCAATATGCATGTGCAGCAGCAGGATGAGTACGATTTGAACAAATTGTACGAGATACTGGAAAACGAAATACTGCCCCTGTATTACGACAATTATGAAACCTGGCGCCAGGTGGTGAAAAATGGTATGCGCGACGTACGCATCCAGTTTGAAAGCAACCGCATGGCCAACGAATATTATGAGCTGCTGTATAAATAAGCGCTGAGTTGACAGCCTTGAGCTGTAAGCAATAAAATCCCTGCTGTTTAATTGAACAGCAGGGATTTTTTATTTGGGTCTGCCCCAACCCGGCATCACAGATGAGCACAGAAAGTCTGGCAGCTTATTAATAAAGATTTTTTTGACCAGCATTAGTGCAACTATTTGACATCGTTGTGTCACTCACTTGTACTGCAGCCATTTCTTCAGCGCTGTTCCCACCCAGCCCATAGCTGCCCCTTTTCGCTTTACGCCCCTGGCTGCTTTTCTTTGTTGTACGCGTAGCCCCCCTTTTCTCTTTGTTCTCTTAGCCTTATGCAATTTGACGCTTTTCCGCATCAAGCTTCAAACATGGACATTTATGAATAAAATCATTGTATTTTTCACCGCTTTCCTGGGCCTCCAAACCCTGCTGTTTGCAGGAGATGAAAAAATCATCGTGCCTGCTGTGTTAAAATCCGCCACTGTGTACCGCGCCGGCGCAGAACTCACCCATACAGCCAGGGCCACCGTAAAACAGGGCAATAACGAATTGCTGATTGAAGGGCTCAGCAATGGGCTGGACATTAACAGTGTGCAGATTGGTGCCGATGAAAAAATCACCCTTCTTTCTGTTGAATTTTCTGCTGATTACTTAAAACCGGCTGCAAAATCTGCCATTGTAAAAAAACTGGAAGATTCGCTGGACATCCTGCGTAAAGACATTTCCAGGATACAGGTACTGCTGAAAACCGATAATGAACTGCTGGACCTGCTGAAAGCCAACCGCGAAATACGCGGCACCCAAACCGGCCTCAGTGTGGCAGAACTGATGAAGATGATGGAATACTACAAAACGAAAACACTGGAGACCCAAAATGAAATTGCCGGCTACCAGGAGAAACAAAACAAACTGGAAGAGGCTGTGCAAAAAATCATACTGCAGGTAAATGAAGAATCACAGAAAAACAATAAGATAGCAGGTAAACTGCTGCTGCAGGTAATGAGCCCATTGGCAGGCACCTGCAATCTTACCATTTCTTATATTACTGCAAAAGCTTACTGGAACCCTTCTTATGATATCCGTGTAGAAAACATCAGCAAACCCATCAGCCTGCTGTACAAAGCCAAACTGGTACAAACCACGGGCATCGACTGGAGACAGGTAAAACTCACCCTGGCCACTTCTTCCCCCAATCAAAACAGCAATGCACCCGTGCTGAAAAGCTGGTTCCTGGACTATACCAACCCGGTTACCCGTATGGAGAATAACCTGCTGATGAATTCTATACAGTCTATGAGCAAAAGCGCTTCGGCGCTATCTGAAGTGGTAGTTACAGGCCTGGGTATCAGTAAAGATGAGGAAGACAGGGATGTAAGGGTTCGTGGCTATAATACAATGCAACAGCCCCAGGCGCCGCTGTACATAGTTAATGGAAAAGTCTTCAGCCAGCAGCAGTTTGAAAGAATAGATCCCAAAAACATAAAAAGCATGGATGTGCTGAAAGATATAAAAGCGGCGGCCGTCTATGGTGCCAGGGCTGCGGGCGGTGCAGTGTTAATAACCCTGAAAGATGAATTAAGCGATTACATCACAGTAACAGACAATGAGCTCAATGTCACCTTCGATATAGACCTGCCCTATGACGTACCGGGCAATGGCAAGGAGCAGAATGTTTCCTTAAAAGAAATCCCGGTTAATACGCTGTTCAAATATTATGCAGTACCAAAGCTGGATAAAGATGCTTACCTGCTGGCAGAACTGGCCGATTGGGAAAAACTGAACCTGCTGCCCGGTGAAGCCAATATTATTTTTGAAGGCACCTATATCGGCAAATCTTTTATAGACCCCAATTCTACCATGGACACGCTTAATCTTACCCTGGGCAAAGACAAACGCATCGTGGTAAAGAAAGAAAAGCTGAAAGATTTCAGCAGCGTAAAATTCCTGGGCAGCAATAAAAAGCAATTATTCACCTACGAGCTAACAGTAAAAAACAATAAAAAAGAAGCTATTCAGCTGCTGCTGAAAGACCAGTATCCCCTGTCTACCAACAAAGAAATTGAAGTAGAACTTACCGGAACCAGCGACGCCGCCAACAATACAGAACTGGGCGTACTCACCTGGAAACTGCTGCTGGCGCCGGGCGAAGTGAAAAAACTAAGGGTGAGTTACAGTGTGAAATATCCAAAAGACAAATACCTGAACCTTTAAAAGTTCCTGGTGCATAGTTCTCAGTTCCTTAACGCAGCTTACTAAAGTATTTTCAAAAGCCCGGAACTGGGAACTATGAACTATAAACTAAAAACTATTCCTTTGGTGCAACATTTCTTTTGGGACGCAGCAGGTGTTTGAGCCTGCTAAAGGTCTCCGGCTTGATATTAAGGTAAGAGGCAAGGTATTTCTGCGGAACGCGCTGCAGCATATCGGGGTGTGTCTGCATGTATTCAAGGAAACGCTCACGGGTAGTGGTATTCAGCTGTTTGAAATCGCGCTTGTCTTTTTTAATAAACATTTCTGTGAGTACCAGCCGGCCCAGTTTCTCCGTTTTGGGGTATTTCTCATAGATCATCTGTACATTGGCATAGCTGATAGAAAGAAAGGTAACCGGTTCTATTGCCTCAATAATGCAGTCGGTGGGCTTCTGCAGGTTAAAAGAAATTTCGGAATGTATCAAATGCCCTTCAGTAGACAGCTGGATAGTAATTTCCTTCTTTTTCACCAGCATGTATTTCCTGGCCAGGCCCTTCATTATAATGTTGAAATAACCGTCTACTTCCCCCAGCTTCAGCACCTTTGTCTTCTTGTCAAATTTCCTTATTTCAAAATACGGCACAATAAGATCAAACTCTTCGCGGCTCATATCCACAAACCGCCGGAAATAAGCGTGTACGTTATCGAGGTAAAATCTATATAGACTCTGTTCGTTCATTACAGCAATACATGTTTTAGTGTTCGCCCCTTAATAAATGCTTATAACGGCTAAAGGTCTCCGGCTTCATATTAAGGTAAGAAGCCAGGTATTTCTGCTGCACGCGTTGTACCAGGTCGCTGTTCTCTTTCATAAACCTGATGAACCGCTCCCGGGGTTCATGGCGCAGGCGGTCGTGCTCCCATATTTCTTTCTGCAGCAGCCAGTCCAGAATAATCAACCTGCCCAAGCGGTCCATATGGCTGCTCCAGCTGTAAATTTTCTGCAGGTTTTCATAGCTCATGGCAAATACCGTAGAGGGTTCCAGGGTTTCTACCACGTATTCAGAGGGCTGTTGCGAGAGGAATGAAACAGAAGAGCACACCAGGTCCTGCTCCCGGGCTAGCTGGGTAACAATTTCATATTTGTTTTTGTAGAAAAATTTTCTGACAAGGCCTGTGCGGATAATATAGAGGTATTGCTCTACCTGGCCCTTTTGTGTTAATACCTGCTTTTTGTCAAACTGGAAGATCTCTACCAAAGCAGCAATTTTCTCAAATTCCTCCAGCGTTACGTTGGCAAACTGCTTTATGTATCCATAGAGATTTTGCATAGTGAATGGTAACGTATTTACGCGAAATGCTGTACTGGGTTTACTAAAGTTAAAAAAAAATAAGTTAGCAGCAAGGGCTGCTTTCAAAAACCCCGCCTGCAGCGTGTAAAAATAACACAGCAGTAAATATTCTAATGTAAAAGGATTGAATATTGTAGTGTAGTATTTCAACTACAAACAGCCGTCTGCAATCAGCTGCTCACAATGGCTGAAATCTCACAAAAAGGAAAAACCGGCCAGGATCGCCCGCGCTGTCCAACTGCAAAGCCGGGCTTGGAAAATCCTTCAAATTATGTAGGTTTGCCAATTACTTAAATCAAATACTTAACCATGGCGCAAAAGATTAAAGTAGCCAACCCGGTAGTAGAGCTGGATGGCGACGAAATGACAAGAATTATCTGGAAATTCATCAAAGACAAACTGATACTTCCTTACCTGGACCTGGACATTAAATACTATGACCTGGGCATGGAATACCGCGATACCACTGATGACAAAGTAACCGTAGACGCGGCCAATGCCATCAAACAATATGGCGTAGGTATTAAATGTGCCACCATTACCCCCGATGAAGCAAGGGTAAAAGAATTCAGCCTGAAACAGATGTGGAAAAGCCCCAACGGCACCATCCGCAACATCCTTGACGGCACTGTTTTCCGCGAGCCCATCGTTATAAAAAACATACCCCGCCTGGTAACCAACTGGACGGCCCCCATTATTGTTGGCCGCCATGCTTTCGGCGACCAGTATCGCGCAACCGATACCGTTATTAAAGGAAAGGGTAAATTAACCATGACTTTTACACCAGAAGGTGGTGGAGAGCCCCAGGTATTTGAAGTGTTCAACTTCAAAGGCGATGGCGTTGCCATGAGCATGTACAATACAGACGAAAGCATCATCGGTTTTGCACGCAGCTGCTTCAATATGGCCCTCAGCAAAAAATGGCCGCTCTATCTTTCTACCAAGAATACCATCCTCAAGAAATACGATGGACGTTTTAAGGATATTTTCCAGGATATTTTCGACAAAGAATTTAAAACGGCTTTTGACGCAGCAGGTATTGTGTACGAGCACCGCCTGATTGATGACATGGTAGCCAGCGCCCTGAAATGGAATGGCAATTTTGTGTGGGCCTGTAAAAATTACGATGGCGATGTACAAAGCGATACCGTGGCCCAGGGCTTCGGCAGCCTTGGTTTAATGACTTCTGTACTGGTTACGCCCGATGGTAAAACCATGGAAGCAGAAGCTGCCCACGGCACCGTTACCCGCCACTACCGCGACCACCAGGCAGGCAAACCCACTTCTACCAACCCCATTGCGTCTATTTTTGCATGGACACGTGGACTGGCTTTTCGTGGCAAACTGGATGGCAACCAGCCGCTGATTGATTTTGCCAACGCACTGGAAGCCGTTTGTATTGAGACGGTGGAAGAAGGTAAAATGACCAAAGACCTGGCTGTTTGCGTGCATGGTAATAAAGTAAAACACGGAGAACATTTCCTGTATACAGAAGAATTCCTGGAAGCCATTGACCAGAATTTGCAGAAGAAACTGAAATAGTTGATTGGTTGATCAGTTGATTGGTTCATCAACTGAGTCGTTGACCATAAAAAATAATAGGTTGACCGCAGAGGGTCAACCTATTATTTTTTAATAACTTCAATACAAACATCCTATCCCGGTCACCAATCAACCAGTCAACTGATCAACCCTTTTTTGCCTTCCCCGCATTCGGATCCTTCCCCGGCTTCATACGGCCGGTTGCTTTCAGTTGCTGGTGAATGATCCATTCAATCTGCCCGTTTACACTGCGAAAATCATCAGAGGCCCATTTTTCCAGCAGCTTGTACATGTCTTCGTCTATCCTTAATACAAAACTTTTTTTATCTGCCATCCGCAACGGCTTTAAATGTACGGCCGGACGAAACATCCGCCCGCACGGGATGATTGGTTTACTGGTAAAGCGTACCGGTATTCAGTACTGGCGTAGCTGCTTTCTCGCCGCACAAAACAACCATCAGGTTGCTTACCATGGCGGCCTTTCTTTCTTCATCCAGTTGCACTATCTGTTTCTTCGACAGCATTTCCAATGCCAGTTCCACCATGCCCACAGCACCTTCCACAATTTTGAAACGGGCAGCTACAATGGCAGTGGCCTGCTGGCGCTGCAGCATGGCACCTGCAATTTCCGGCGCATAGGCAAGGTGACTGATACGGGCCTCTTTGATAAGGATGCCTGCCGGTGCCAATCTTTCCATCAGCTCCATTTCCAGCATTTCATTTACTTTTTCACCACCATCCCGCAGCGTTATTTCTGCCTTCTCATCTTCCATCTGATCATAAGGACAACTGGTAGCCAGGTGACGCACCGCTGCTTCACTCTGTATGCCTACGTATTGCTGAAAGTCGGCCACCTCAAAAGAAGCTTTATAAGTATCCTTTACCTGCCAAACAATCACTGCCGCTATTTCTATGGGATTGCCCATTTTATCGTTTACTTTCAGCTGCTGCCCGTTCAGGTTCTGCGAGCGGAGTGTAATACGGTAGCTGGAATAAAAAGGGTTTACCCACAAAAGGCCATTGTCTTTTACCGTGCCTACATACTTGCCGAAAAATGTACATACCCTGGCATGATTGGGGTTCACCACCATGATGCCTTTAAACAGGAAGACCGACAGCAGCACCAGCAGCGCCGCCAGTACCACCAATGAAGGCGTAGCTGCATCGCCTTTGCCAACCCCCATTGCAAAACATGCAATGGCACCCACAAAACTGCCGATGGCCAATACCAACGCCAGGTAACCCGACATTGCTTTTAATTCTTTTTCCATTTGAGGTAAAATTTAAAATGATATTAATTTGATATCAAATGTATACCAGTGCTGCGGCATTTCAAAATAATTAGCCGGCTTAAACGATAGAAGGAGAAAATACAGGAAGAGGGGGTACAGAACGGGCATGAATGGCGGGCCGGGAGGTCAGCGGAGAAAAGCGTTTTTTGCGCATGGCCAAACAGAAAAAGAGAAGGCCTGCAGCCAGCGCAGATTACCCGATGCCATGGCAGCCGCCGCGTAATTGAGCAGTCGCCCGGAGTGGGTACACGCTGCTAAACGCTTTTCACTGCCGCTTCTATGCGGCTGAATTTCGTTCCTGAAAATCCCTCCAGAGTCCTATTTTTATGCAAAGACAAAGGCATTATGAAACAAACCGTTTTGAGTATTTTTTTTTGCTGCCTGCTGGCAATGGCAAGAGCTGGCAATGCAGACACCATTACTGTGTACAGCAGCGCCATGCAAAAAGGGGTGAAATGCGTGGTCATTACGCCCGGCAACTATAAAAAATCAGCAAAACCCTTTCCGGTACTGTACCTGCTGCACGGCTATGCCGGCAACTATGCCCGCTGGCTTACCGTGGCGCCACAATTAAAAAACAAAGCAGATGAAATGCAGTTTATTATTGTTTGCCCCGATGGCGGTTACGGCAGCTGGTATGTTGACAGTCCCTCCGACTCCAGCATCCGGTATGAGACTTTTACCGGCACTGAGCTGGTGAACCATATAGACAGCAGCTACAGAACATATAAAGACAGGGCCCACCGCGCCGTTACCGGCCTAAGCATGGGCGGGCATGGCGGACTCTACCTGGCCATCCGCCATAAAGAAATATTTGGCGCAGC